CTGGCACTTATTCTTCTTTGGATTTATCTCTTGCAGATTCTAACCTCCTGAATGAATTTGATTGGTCTGTTCATAATGACCTTTGTGGAAGTGACCACTTCCCAACTATCCTTTCAGAAATAACTCCATCTGATTCTCCTTCGTACACAAGATGGAACTTTTCGAAGGCTAACTGGTCTTCATTTCAAACTAACTGTAAATCAAAACTGCGACCTGATTGTTTCAGTGATATAACTGATCCCATTCAAACTTTTTCTGATGTTTTAAATGAAATAGCTGATGAGTGTATACCAAAGTCCTCTACGACTCCACATGTACGAAAACCATGGTTTAATACAGATTGTAGACAAGCCAGAAAAGCGAGGAAAAAGGCAGAGCGTTATTTCCGCCATCATCCAACTGTCCATAACTTAAATAAATTTAAAATACTCAATGCAAAGGCGCGTCGTACCTTTAAACAAAACAAACGACAATCTTGGAGAAATTATGTCTCCAAAATTAATTCGCGCACGCCAATGTCTAAGGTTTGGAACATGGTTCAGCGAATAAAAGGCAAAGGTTCAAAATCAGCTGTACACCATCTTAAAGATGGTGATAACTTGATAACTGATAAATCTGACATTTCAAATAAAATTGGCGAAACCCTTGCCAAAAATTCATCATCGGCAAATTATGTCCCTGAGTTTCAGAGATATCAGAAACAACAGGAAAAGACAAAACTTAATTTCGAATCAAATAACGGTGAAGATTACAATGAAGTGTTTTCATTACATGAGCTACATACTGCTCTTGAGCAAGCTCATGACACTGCGGCGGGTGATGACAATATACATTACCAGCTACTGAAACACTTACCGGAACCATGTCTGATGACACTTTTAGATATATTTGACAAAATATGGACGTCTGGAGAATTTCCTCCTTCATGGCGTAATGCCATTGTAGTCCCAATACCAAAACCTGGCAAGGATCATACAGATCCGTCTAATTACAGACCGATCTCTCTAACTAGCTGTGTTTGTAAAACCATGGAACGTATGGTGAATAATAGATTAACTTGGTATCTTGAAACCAATAACCTTATAACCAATATTCAATGTGGTTTCAGGAAAAATCGTAGTACCATTGATCATTTGGTACGCTTAGAATCCTTTGTTAAGAATGCTATAGTAAGTAAACAACATGCTGTATCAATTTTCTTTGATCTTGAGAAAGCTTATGATACGACCTGGAAGCATGGCATTTTGAGGGATTTACATGACTTTGGTTTGAGAGGCCGTTTGCCTCTTTTTATATCACAGTTTTTAAAAGACAGACAATTTCAAGTCCGAGTGGGTTCAACCCTGTCTGATCATTACAATCAGGATCAGGGTGTCCCTCAAGGCAGTATTTTGTCTGTCACTTTATTTAGTATCAAGATCAACAGTTTATCCAAGGTTTTAAACGATTCCATCGATGGATCACTTTTTGTGGATGATTTTAATATTTCTTGTCGTGGTAAAAATATGCATACTATTGAACGGCAATTGCAGTTGTGTTTAAATAAAATAAATAAATGGTGTCTTGAAAACGGCTTTAAATTTTCTAAATCCAAAACTAATTGCATACATTTCTGCCGTAAATATAAGCCTCATAAGGACCCAGAACTATCTTTAAATGGCACTCCCATCAAAGTTGTAAAGGAGGCCAAATTCTTGGGCCTAATTTTCGATTCCCATTTAACATTCCTGCCACATATTAAATCCCTTAAGGCTAAATGCTTGAAGGCACTCGATTTGTTAAAGGTTGTCTCCAATTCAAAGTGGGGAGGGGATCAAACTACCCTCCTTCACTTATACCGATCATTGGTACGATCTAAACTTGATTATGGCTCCATCGTATATGGTGGAGCCTGTAAAAGCAACCTAAAACTACTTGATTCTGTCCACCACCAAGGCCTAAGACTTTGTCTTGGGTCCTTTAGAACCTCTCCTATTGATAGTCTATATGTTGAAGCAGATGAGCCTTCTCTTACACAACGTCGTATAAAATTATCTTTACAATACCTTACTAAACTATATACTAGCGAGTCTAACCCTGCATTTAACTGTGTTTTCAATCCCCTCTATGAGGATTTATACAACAAAAAACCTTCTCTTGTTCCGCCTCTTGGGCACAGAATTAAGCCCTTCATTTCTGCTGCCGGCATTGAGCTGGAAAATATAGCTCCTTCCCGTCTTCTTTCTTCTCCTCCTTGGCAGTTGGTTAGGCCCCAAGTTGACCTAACTTTGACCACATTTAAAAAATCAGAAACTAATGAATTACAGTATAAACAAGAATTTAGTCAGTTAAGAAATAAATATAATACATATAAATCCTTATTTACAGATGGATCCAAGGATGGTGGCGCGGTGGCTTGTGCCACTGTCATTGGATCCAGAACAATCTCCTCTCGTTTACCAGATAACAGCTCTATTTTTACAGCAGAAACAAACGCCATATTAACAGCTTTAAAATATATTACAAAACACCCTAAATATCAACAATATATCATCTTTTCTGACTCACTTTCTTGCCTTCAGGCTATTAAAAATCTTTCTTGTAAACATCCACTTTTATTGGAAATTATTGAATTGCATAATGAGCTTGCTACTGGCCAATGCGACATCGTCTTTTGTTGGTTACCAAGCCACGTTGGCATTTCTGGGAACACAATGGCTGATCTTGCTGCTAAGGCAGCACTCAACAAATCTGTGACACCACTTCTTATTCCATACTCTGATTACAAAGCTAGCATTAGAACTTACATCCGCGATCTAATGCAGAAGAAGTGGGACACCCAAGTGGGTATTAATAAATTACATGAAATAAAACCCTATATTGGTTACACCTACTTGGGTTGTCAGTCCAGATTTGAAGAGGTCATCATGCGACGATGTCGTATTGGCCACACTAGATACACTCATGCGTACCTATTGAAAGGTGAGGATCCTCCGTTTTGTATCCCCTGTGATGAGAGAACCACGGTCAAGCATGTCCTGCTTGACTGTGTTGAATTCGCCATCATAAGGGATAAATATTTTAATGTTAAAACTGTTAAGGATCCTTTTAGTACTGTTCATGTTCATTTAATTCTTGCTTTTTTAAAAGAAATTGATTTAATTAATGAATTTTGATAAATATGTTTATGTACAGTACACATCCCTGTGCACTTAAAAGAACCCACGAATCCGTTGGTATATGGCCAGATGGTGGCCACATGAATACGTGCAAACACCAAGTTGCGGGTACAGCAACGTGCAGTGAACTTGGACAAAGTACTGTGACTATGTGTCCCTGTCCACCCAGCTGTGAATGGGTACCTCGTTAGGATGAGAAGGCCACAATAACTCGGTGCGCCTAGTGGCTGCAAGAGTTGTATACTCCCCAGGGAGTTGAGATTGATAACACGATGTGCCGTTGAGACTGACATCCAATAATCGAGGGAAAAATACCAGCGCCTTGAGCAAGCACTAGTTGCCTGGATATGTGCGCTATATAAATATCATATAAAAATATCATATAATAATAATAAATTTCTGTACATATCTGTATTTTAATTATTGGTAGATTTGATTAGTAACTTAGATTGTTAGTGGCTGTACCCTCAAAGAGGGTTGAAGTATTGTAAAATTATTGTCCTCCTGAGAGGGTACGTAAGTCCCAAAACATTTCAAGTACATTTAAGTATACCAGGTGTTTTAATCGTAGTATTTTTGTCATTTTAATGTATGGCTAATTATCGGTATAAACGCCAATGGCTGAAGGGATGGTGTAAATCCAGCTAGGGTCCATGCAGGTAGCAAAGGTAATGTAAGTCCCCATGGGCCTTAGTATGGTGATCTACCTTCAGTTGTTGGCGATCTATAGCCCATTTTTTACATTGTATTGTCTTCTTTAATTGGAATATTTTAGCTTTGTTCGCTAGTTTTATATTCATATCTGTGATTATCTAGTATTTTTACTGTCCTTCGTTGGCAGATTTTTATAATATCTATATATATTCTATTTCAATGTCAAATGTTCTCGTCACGATATGGCTGAAATATTGCCGATGTGACGTTAAATTTTAACTCACTCACTCACTCTTTTAAATATCATAATAGATTGGGTGTTTAGATACACATTGTATTGCTTAAAGGCCTGAACTACTGCGTGATAAAGATTAAAGCAAAACGCTGACACGTTGATAGTGTGTATTGGCTTTCAGAAGTTATTCACATACAAACGCCAAGGTCTTTTGGGAATATTTGTACGAATCCTCATCAAGTATTGCTATCACATTTAATATAATAAAGAGTTCTTTGTCTGAAGTAAGGTATAACGGATGAAAATGATTCCTAAGAGTGCACAAATAACAATGGAAAGGTTGGAGAACATAAATGAAATGTCAGATCAACGTATGATGGAGGACAAAAATCGGTCATGGTACAGTCTCCAATATCGTCTTCAGACACTCATAGACTTTCGTGTATTAACACTTTATTCACTGAAAGCCCAGTGTGTTACCTGATTAAAGTATTTAAATTGTGTGGACGTTCGTGGTTTAATATTTCATTGTCCCATGCAAAGCTTTGCCCCTTTTCCTTAAATATCAGGGCCGGGTCCAGCTTTTTGAGAAAGGGGTGGTGGGTGGTGGTGCACACTATTGAGAAAGGAGGGGTGCACACTTCATTTTCACGAGAGTTCCAATGGTCATTTAATTAACTTTCAGGACAAAGGGGGGGGGGGGCGCACCCCCCCTTCGTGATCCGCCTATGAATATGTGGTGGTTGTCAAATAGTACCGTATGTTCTTTGCTGTTTCTGTCATGTCTTCTAAAGACCGTTTTACTTCATGCCTCGTTAAAGCCAGGGGTACAGTGACAAAGAGTAGTGTTTGAGGTGAAAAATAAATGTCAAGGGCTCATAGTGCTAGCCGAATGTCCTATCTCCTTCGCCAATGTTTTCCCATTCTCCCATATGGCTGAATCAGCAAGAAAGTCATTTTCCGTTGTCACATGACTCCCTAGATGTCCCTTTTTGGATTAGGTGTCCTTTTTCATTAGTGTCCCGTGTAGAAGATTGCAATGTGTCTTCCAAGGCTTTGCTACTTGTCTCTTCAAGTCCGAAGGTAGCAACACCAGCGAGGGAAACCAGGATTCCCAAAGCTATGAATGGCAGCATGAGGTCACTATTTATGCTCTGAAAAATTCAAAGGATGAATATGAGGAGCAAAGCTCAAAGAATATACATGTACAAATTTTGATTTGCCGTAATACGATGGTATTATTATGTAGCCTCTATATCAACGACAATGGTTCTCTCCAGAAGGAAGTGAGACATTTTGAGATTCAGCAAAGCATCTTTTATCTGATGTCATTAATACTAAGCATGCATAAATGTTATTACTTGATAATAGAAAAAACACAAGCATATGCATATTTAAATTATTTGCCATTTGCATAGACGTTACTTGAATACTGGAATCAGAAACATTAGAAGTCAGACATATATAAATATACATATATATACATATAAATATGCATATATATACATACATATATATAGAGAGAGAGAGACAGAGCTAGATAGATAGAGGCGGGGGGATTTGCCATTTGCGTAGAAATTACTGGCATACTGGAATCAGAAACATCAGAAGTCAGACATATAGTGCTAGTATATATACACACACACACACACACACACACACACACACACATTACAATATATATATATTCTCTAGCAAATGGCAAATCTTCCATGTCAGAGAGGCGGGGGTTGCCATTTGCATAGAAATTACTGGAATCAGAAACATTGGAAGTCAGACATATATGATAATTAAATATATATATATATATATATATATATATATATATATATATATATATATATGCTGAATGTCCGAATGACGCGTCTACTGATCCTGTTTTGACCTTGATGCTTGTTAATGGAAAAGAATATGCATGTAGATACAAGAGTAATAATTTGACCTGCAGATTTTCTACCGAAATAACCTCGGTACTCCTGACCCACCTGATCAACCGCAGGTTTTAATCAATAATCTAAGTGACCTGTATTTAGATACTCACGAGAGACAGAATTTGACCTGCAAGTATAGCACCTATTCTTCCACCCGAATTCTGAGCACCAAAGGCCAGGTTTCTTGATAAACAAAGATGAAATAAATAACTGTTACTCATATACATCAGATAGATGCACACAAATCGATTAACGTAACTGGCATTTAAACGTCATTACCTCTGTTTCGTGAATTAATTTATTGATAACAGATTTCTTTATTGTTTGTAACCTGTCAAGGTGAATGAGTGAGTGTGTTTTAACGCCGCTATGAACATTATTTCAAAAATACCATGACATGTCAGAAAACTTCATTACATGGTTAACACATTTCTGTTGCGTACATATCTCACTTTAACATGGATAAGTGGAGACGGGTCCTCTAAATATGTGTACGAATCATTCAAATAATACCCATGAAGATCTGATCTTCAGTAACCCATGCTTAAGGGTCTAACGGAATCGGGTGGTTAGGCTCGCTGACGTGGTTGACATATATCATCGTTTCCCGATTGCGTACATCGATGCTCATGCTGTTGATCACTGTATTGTCTGGTCCAGACTCGATTTTTTGCAGAACTCCGCCACATAGCTGGAAGAGTGGCGTCAAACAGCAACCAGCCAACCATTCAAAAAAAGCATTGGGTGCCTGTTACTTTCGTGTAGGACACATTGTTTACCTGATGACTGTCGGGAACTGTTCAGCGCCCAAAGTCAAGGCAACCAACCATCCAATGGAGATTGTAAATTTGGCAGTTAATGCGCATGCGTTGATGTAATTTCCTTTCTCCTCCTCGGGCGCTAAAGAGAAATGCATATGCATAAATATGTATAGGTAATTATGCATGGAGAAAATAACTTCTAAGATACAGATTGCTTTGATATTGCGCATCACTCTCTTGAAGAATACAGAATGGGGAACAGTCATTAGTCTTGTACTACTACATCTACTACTACAACTACTACTACCTAATCGTGTAGATGCAGCCAGTCCAAAGCAAAGAATAGCAGTTATGAAAAAACACGTTGCGATCCCAATCCGCCTTCGAAATCTGTAACAAAGAAATGAGTAAGAACGGTAACCATGAATGCCACTGTCAGAACACATAAACTACATTGTCGTGCACGTCCCCGTACATCCTTGTGCATTAACTGAACTAACACCATTGATAACTGCTTATGGTTTAACGCCACACTCACCAGTATTCCAGCTTTTTTACGTCGCTTTGTAAATAGTTGAATCTGGACAACTGAATCCGATGATTAATGTCATGAGCAATGATCTATGCAATTGGAATATGATGACATGAGCGTGATCACTTGATCCATGTAGTCGCCCAAGACATGACCTATTAAGACCAAAACTAACCCAAATCTCAATGGTTAATGAGTGAGTGAGTTTAGTTTTACGCCGCACTCAGCAATATTCCAGCTATATGGCGGCGGTCTGTAAATAACCGAGTCTGGACCAGACAATCCAGTGATCAACAGCACGAGCATCGATCTGCGCAATTGGGAACCGATGACATGAGTCAACCAAGTCAGCGAAACTGACCACCCGATCCCGTTAGTCGCCTCTTACGACAAGCATAGTCGCCTTTTATGGCAAGCACATGGGTTGCTGAAGACCTATGCTACCCCGGATCTTCACGGGTTCAACGGTTAATGAAGGTGATTTACAATGTTTATGATTTTTAAACTTATTTCTCTGGTCATATATTTTTACCAATATTATAAGGACATGGCAGCCATATCTCGTCCATTTCAAACTGCTCGGTTGATTGTACTTCTAATATTTGAAGAGTTATCGATAATATCTTATTGTCTCCTGGTAAAAGACTGGCACACTCACACCGACATGAGTAGGACACAAGGTGCTACTGGGAATTCAGTGAGCGTCATCAGTAGCAGGTTGAGGTAGAAGTCCCCTGAGAGATCCTTCAAGCCAAAGACAACAACATAGTATAATCCCGAGCAAGTGAGCCTGTGAAGAAACATAATTTTATGTGACCATAAAATGTCAATGACTTAAAATGACGTGTGTTGTTTTTTTAGCATAATTCCATTAAAACAGACGCGGACGTGGCATTGGTATCATCGAGAAGCCAGGGTTCCTGAAGTTCAAGAATAATGGTAAAAATAATTCAACAAGTGATTGGCCTTTACGAGCTACTTGCTTTCAGTACGGGGCATAGCCCATGTGCATAATTTGCCAGATGGCTTGGTTCAATATTTGAAATCTTTCTGTAGTACTACTCTGTTGCACTATTTAAATCACATATACAGTTCAATAGGTGTTAGTATTATCCATAGTGTTGACATACATGCATACATGGTGTAAAGGTGTATGTTTTTAATCATTTACAACAAAGAACACACAGAGATCTTCTCTGAAGGACAATCAGGACTATGGACCATGGGTTAATAGAACGTTGCGTTTCGAATACAGCAGGTCTCTCTTACCATAAGAAACAAGTAATTATTGTTTTCTTTCCTAAATCCTTTGTCTTAAACAGATCCAGATAAGTGTAGGACTTCGCTTTGTCCCCCTCCGCCTTCTCCTCTTGTGCAATCAGCTCCAAGATGGACGTGTCCGGCATTGGCTTCTTGTTGAGTTCCGCAATCTTTTGGATGACTATTTTCGCATCGTCCAGACGTCCTTTTACAACCAGCCAGCGGACAGATTCTGGCATCAAGCTAAAAACAGAACAGATGCTGAATCATATAATTCGAGATCGGATCCATAACGACGACGTATATTCTTATTACCAGATTGATTACAGAAAACAATGACAATCAGAATCCCCGTTTGGCACTTTAAGTTTAATTCGAGATTTTTAGATTAAACCATTAATTATGGAACGTTTACAGTCATCCAGCGAAAATATTCTGGCTAAGATTAAGCATTTGCTCTATTAAAAATTACTGGTGGCATAACCTCTGCTGGTGTATGTTAGGCATGAGTGATAATTACAAGTATCAAAAGACACCCTGTTAAGTATTTTGAGATGACCAAAATTGAAACATAATAATGTGGTCATCTTGGCACATATCTATTAAATAATATTCTGAATATAAAACGCACAGAGGTTAATGGTTGTTGTTTTTAATTAATATTACTTACAAACACGTAAATAGGTATGGAAATGTCAGAGCTGCCGTTGCTAGATGCAGCCATCTCCAGTTGTGGAGACATTTTGCAAGAAGCCACAATATTACCATCGCCAACTGCCAGTCCGGGATTGCCACAATAAAACCCCGCCACTTCGCTGTAACAAATTCCATCTGATAGAGGTATAGAGTTCCCAAGACAAGACCACATGCCATGCCAAGAAATGCTCTCAAAGCTGTAAACATGGTCCAAGAAACGGAAAATGCTGATACCACATTGCCAAGAAAGAGCAAAATTAATCCACTGTAGAAAACGATCTTCCGGCCATATTTGTCTGCACAGTGCCCAGCGATGATGCATCCGATCAGCACACCGATCATCTGAATGGATATTATTGCGTTGCTGACCCAACTCAGGTCGCAGACCAAATTCCACTGAAATCAGGAAAAGGTCGTCTCGTTAATCTGTGGATGTCAGATAGGCCACACAGCCTCGTTTATGTGCTGATGGAGGACGCATAACCAATCGCAATAAAAACTCAAATATTATGTGCGGATAAGTATCCATTTTGTTCACATGTATTTCCCTTTGAATTTCGCAAACATGTATTTAGGTACTGATGTGTTTATGGGCAGATGTTTCTTCACATATGGTTGATTCAGTTCAAAACTAACGTAGTATAAATGTTCCCATACAAATGGAAAGCTATACCAGGTGGTTTCAAAACTTCATATTGAAATGCAATCAATTAAAGACGTCTGGAAGTTGTACTTGATCTGTAGCATAATTTTAGAGTTATTGATAAAATCCGAATCATACTACGGACTGAAGTAAGTTGGTTACATGTCAAAATTTCATGGTATACATTTTACGGCTCTTCCCGTAAAAGGAAAAAAAGCTCTACCCGTTTGGAGTTGAATCCAGTTGTTGAAAGATGTGGTCGATTAAAGATTACAGACTCAACTTCATCAAACGTCTTCCAAACTTTACGTCTTATGGCCTAAGCTTTAGGTAAAGTGACATTCCTTGGTGGCAAGCTTAATTTAATCTGCTTTCTTTTAATATCCTTCATCTTTCTCGCAACAAACAGAGATAAATGCTACGACCGCAGACATCACTTGATTTTGCAATCATCACAGGTTTTTTTCACAAGAACTTTGAAGATTTAATTCACTGAGCTGATTCCGCTATTCAATCAATATTTCCAGTACCGAAAAGTACGGATATCGTACGTTAAAAACGTAATTTCGCATATCATAATTACCTCTGAGACGGCCGTAACCATGGCATGGCTGAACTTCCGGTCGCATGTTCCTTCCCAAGAGCAGTTCCGATAGCTTCCGCTCATATGACTCCTGTTCCATTGGCTGAGATTCATGTCATCCGATGTACACCACCAATCAGGTTCAACTCCAGCAAATGTCATCAGAAGCATAGTGGGAACAATTACTATCTTTGAGGAGGCGAGGGTCATAGTCAGAATGATTTGATAAACACCAAAGCCCCCGAGGCCTTCGATAAGGCCTTCCAAATTCATTATGTTAGATAAATACAGTCCTTGAAAATCCTCTTAATGGTGATAGATCAACACAGGGAAGAACGCTGCTTTGACAAACTACACACGGTTATTGTTGAGATCTGAAACAAAAACCCATTTACAAGACCTCTCAATAAATGTATATTTTTCACGAACCTTGTGGAATTAGTGTTGTTTTATTTACCGTCATTATCACTTGAATGTTAACCGTGAAGTGTAAAGTAAGTATTCGATAATGATCTGACCCGTAAAGATCCGAGTAAGAATTGGTCTTCAGCAACCCATGCTTGTTGTAAGTGGCGACACACGGGTGCTCATGCTCTACTTTACGATAGATGTTTTCAGCAACTAAATATTAAACCTTACAATGTCAAAGTATCCAGTCAAAGGCAAGAAGAAGACAGCCGTGTCGTCAATGCATACATGCACCTGTTGATAATTTAAATAATCTCAAATATCTGTGGAAACAGCAAGCACCATCCATTATTAGTCCATTAACCATCCGAATACATTATGAGACACGATGAATCAAACGCTGGGACAAACATCTCGTGTCCTTACGTATTTCAAAGTTTCAACAAGAAGTATTGAAATGTTACCTGTTACGACCTGGAAAGAACGCTACAGCCAAATACATCTTGTTGTTTTTAATCCGCACAAATTAAATGGAAATGTTTGTTAATCAGTATATATCCGTGTCAGAATATATGAACATTATATAGTTGACGACATACCTTTGGTAAAATAGTTCTGGAGGAGACGTATGTACACAGTAGCTCTAAAGTTACCGGAGGCTTCGCTCTAAAGCCAGCACCAAGGACAGCACTTAGTCAGGACAGATATATCACGGGGTGCTAACTATTCATAAGCTGAAATTGACTCACCGGCTGTTGCTTGTGTGATTAGTATGAATGTCGGCCGCAATTATATTTCAGAATAAATTTCAGTCACTGAAAATGTGTTACGGGTTAAAGGCTATATCATCGTCAATTTACGATATGGTCTGTTAAGTTCTGCCTGCATAATCGGGGCAGACCGGGATTAAAACCCATAATAACACGTTTGGGTTGTGCCCAAGGATCGCGGCTCTGCAAAACAAATATCGTTTCCTGAGACGACATTGCCATCTGTGCCAAAAAAGAGTGTTGAATAAATGTATGTATCTAGTTTAAAGGCACAATGTCACACATTTTCGACAATATTTTGGCCTATATTGCATATACTGGGGCATATGCACTCACGTTAGCTTCCTATTGATGCAATAAAAGATTTATTCTCCCTTACGACTTACCTAAAATCGATAATTGAAGCTTCGAGGCGAACAGCTTCCAAACAGAGAACACTTGCCACGTATGCAATGTAACAACTGCTCCGTGCATCGAAAACTCTTTGCCGAACTGGTCTTTATCACAAGTTGTGCTTAGGATATTCGAAAAGAGCGCTCCAAGGGACATACCTCTATGGGGTTCGCTTGAAATAATGTTTGGCTCGAGAATCGATTTAATGCAACGATGCATTAATCCATTCGAACTTTTTAATTTAAGATTGTTATCTACATAAGTAATTTATGGTAGCTTCCCGGAGGGCTGACAGTTAGTATTATTGAGAGAAATGCATTATTTATTTTTAGAGAAGTGTGCTGTGATTTAGTGCCTTTAAGTCGGTTACGTGTAATATCGTTCCGTGTTTCAAATGTACTTTTTCAAATTTATAAGGACGGTTGCCCATTCCTCATCAGAAATGGGCGTTATTCAAAATCTAATTACATATCTGGTGTCAAAATCCATAAAACTCCGCAGATGAATTTGTCTTTAGGATAAACGTTTTGGGTGTTTAAAATGCAGAGGTGATATGAATACTGTATATAGTTTTCACTTCTTACTTGTGTTATAGTGTATTTTATTTTGAACTTTATAAAGTGAGAACTAGTGTATTATATTTTGAACTTTACAAAGTGAGAACATAAATAAGCGGGAACCTGGAAAACATATTGCTTGTCAAATTCCAAGATTGTAAGAAGACATATCTTGTACTTGTAAATGTCAACAACTGAATTAATGTATCAAATACACACTGCTGTATCATTAATATTATATAATATGGAGCGATCACAGCTGCATGTATGCTCCCCAATACAACACTCACACATGCGTTATTCATGTTCATAGACACCTGAAGAGTAACGCAAGAGAAGCTGTGGGCGCGGTGCCCACGTAACAAATACTGTTCCGAAAAGATATAATTACAAATATGAAATCCAATCGCAACTCAAAGCCATTGTGGATATTGCTAAGTAAATTATCTATTAATGCCAACTGATGTAATACGTCTGAATTTTAAATATCAGATCATATGCGATGGCTCCCGATGACAAACTCTAATCAACGGCTTAAGCTTTTTACCCCTGCGATATGTATAATGTATATCATCTCCTGGAAGATGGATGCCACGTCACGATGGACTTACGTTGACAACCTTATTGAAGTTTGCGAGGTGATTAAACCCTTTTGGTTAACGCCTGTCAATGTTGGCGTTACAGGTTGTCGGTATATGTAAATTCCGTTAACAATCTTAATGTTAGATAAAAGTATCACTACCAGATTGTTATTGCCATTTTGGAAAAAGTTGTACAAAGGTTTTCACCACTGTATAAGTCCATAAAGAGCTCACTGGATTTGTTGAAGAACAAATAATGATTCTGGGTTTTTTTATACAATCGGTAAAAACTGTGGCAGGGGGCGTTATGAAGTTTTATGTCTGCATCACGACCGTCCTGTCGGGTGCCTTGAAAGCACATACGACGATTTGAATCTCGGAAACAAATAGGGAATCAGGAGGGAATCTTAACAGAAACTCTGTAGTTCTACAAAGTCTACAAACACTGCCACTTAGCAGTACACCCTAGTATTGGCGGGATTAAAATAATTCCCAAAATGAAATTAATTATCTTAAATTATATTAGTGTGTGTGTGTGTGTGAGAGAGAGAGAGAGAGAGAGAGAGAGAGAGAGAGAGAGAGAGAGAGAGAGAGAGAGAGAGAGAGAGAGAGAGAGAGAGAGAGAGAGAGAGAGAGAGAGAGAGAGAGAGAGAGTATGTGTGTGTGTGCGTACACCTAATGTACATGAGAGAAGTAGCCCTGAGGGTCATTACAAACACAAAATGATTTCCAGTAAATAAGTTTCATGTATTTGTATTCTTCGCTAAAGTTTCTGCCTAGGAATAAATCATTTGTTGTCCATATTGAATGCTGGAAAATACGATATCAATATATTGTCATCTGATTAATGAATGATATGGAACACACTGAATTTTATGAAGGTTTGTTTGTTATTCAACGCCCCACTCAATAGTATTCCAGCTATATGGCGACTGTCTGAAGAAAAATGAGTAAATCCACTGATCAACAGCATGAGCATCAATCTACGCAATTGCGATACAATGACATTTGTCAACCCCGACAGCGTGCCTCTTACGACAAGTATGGGCTGTTGAAAATCAATTCTAACCCGGATCTTCAAGAGTTAAGTTAAGGAACTTGGAACAACCGCCAGCTGTATTGTGCCTGAAGTGGAACTATGTTAAAAGTATCGCTCACCTGATGACTGTAGGGAACTATTCTTCAGCGCAATCTGCCATCTACACAAATTGTTAAGTTGGCAGTTAATGCGCATGCGTTAATGCAGTTTCTTTTCTCACCAGCTGGTGCTAATCATAAACAGATTAACACAAATATATCAAAATGGCATATTCCTTTTAACACAGACGTGTTTGTCCGATTCCGATAGATTGTTGTTGGCGATGGTGATATTTGAGGGAAGTCCTGCTCATTTTAATTTATTTCGATTGGAATATCCTCAAGTCATCTGTTTTTCGTGTTCATTTCTCGCGGTTATGAGCGAGATATTACGTCACCAGACAAGTTATTTTTAGCAGGAGGTCGACTGCTTCAGCTCTGACTAACAAAATGCTTCGTGTGAAATTTAGTAAGGTACATGATTGCAAACACATGTAAATGTTACGTTTTAGAACAGAGTTTACTAATGCATAAATTTTCATGTAATCAAAATGCTATATCTAAAATATCGTCAGCTCCACCTTTTCAGTATAGCGTCGTCTGCTTGTTTATGGTATGACGTATCATTATCACATGACATATCACGTGGCGTTGCCGTCGTAAAAAAATATATGGAAACTGGATAGGGTCATCTCTTATTACGATTTTCTAAAATACTCATTTAATTTTCGAAACTGCAATGAATAATTCTGTGTCATGGGCCCAGTGTACTCATCCTGCATACTGTAATTGGGTCCACCTCAAGCTGTGCACCTCCGTATGTGTAGTGAGATCTTCTGATGAGTTTTGGTGCCCTTGTCAGCGCGAACCGGAGGAGTGAAACATGCCTGGACATGTGATGTAACTAGCAAAGTCTTATCATGATTAACTTTGACATGAAATTATTACGACCATAGTTTCTAATAATTATTATTGGAACTATACTGAAAGCCATTAAAAACGCAATTGGTATATGTTGTCCTGAAACTTACAAAAGTTCTATTGAAGATTTTTTTCCTGCGATACAGAGGATGTAGGGATAAAAGGCTGTTATTCTGGCCCGTTTCGAGTTCCGGAGCATTCCTTTCACATGAACTTTGATACTTAAAACTGAACCTTTGACATTTCTCGTTAACACAACCACATTCATGAAACACGTTGTGCACATGCATTACCTGCACCCAGGCCCTGTAAAAGCACAAGGAATTGTGGAACTCAATCACTTTGAGAAAATGCCACACTTGACACAAGACAAAAGGAATCAGGTTATCGGTATGGTCAGCCAAGGTGCTTCAGATGTGATGATTGCCAGGCACTTTAATGTGCATCCATCCACTGTAAGTCGA